TATATATATATATATATATACATACATACATACACACACACACACACACACACACACACACACACATACATACATACATAAAACACAAAGACAAACAAAACGTGAACACCAGGAAAAATACAATACTAGAAAAATTTAATAAATTACCAAGCTTTCGTCGAAAAACTATCGACATCGTCAGGGTTCAATGCTAGTCAATGTGAGAAACCTATATAGGATTAATCAGCGCTTGCATCTGGCTCCTGGACCTCGTTACCGGTCCTAGCTGATTGGGCTGCATTCTGGACGTATCCTCAGCACCAATATTCATCCTTTTCCTACTTCCCTTTCCTATATATGCATCATTGTTCGTCCCCTCATCACAAGTTCTTAGGCTAAGCAGATTTTTCCTGGTGTTCAAGTTTTGTTTGTCTTTGTGGTATGGATATACCCAGGAATCATGTTTTTACTGATATTATTCTCACACACACACACCCAAATATATATATATATATATATGATTAGTTCTGGATTAGTCTGTTGTGTAAACCCAACAAAACTGGTTTGTAATCCAGAGATGTTGTTGCTCTGTGAGAGGTACAATCCAGTAGTACTTCTGTCTCACTTGAACAAATTGTGGTTAAATAAATCAGAGTTTTGGATATTGTGCGACCCAGATCTTGGCCTTTTTCTAGTTCCGATCATTTGTATCTGCTGAACTGGATATGTTTGCTTTGAAATAAAAGAAAGTAGCAGCACTGTATCTGGGAGATGTCATGCTACAACCCTTCTCTGGTGCTAATGAAATCAGCCACTTGGACTCACGAGATGCTCTCCCAGGGCAGCAGGTGATGTAAGCCAGCGCTGGACTAATTGCTTGTTTAGCAGAGCTTGGAAGAAGCGCTGCAAATTCCTCCTCCTCCTGCTCCTCCTCCATATACCTTGGACCGATTCCCATCATTTCCCAGCCAGCATTAATGGTAGTTGGGGAGATGGTGGGTCCTGAAGTCCAATCCCTTGTTGGACTTCATGTTGCAGAGGAACCCTTTCAGCAAACTCTGTTTTCCAAGGGACTCGTTATTTCAAAACATAGACAGGGAGCTAAGCCATGGAATCTTCCCTGTCGTTTTAGCAAAAGGGTATAACCTTCGCCAAACCTGCTCAACAGTAATCTAGCAGAATGCAATTGATTTCCGGAATACCCACTAGAAGTCTGAAAGAGGCTACAATGGTTTAGGGCTGGTAAGAAATGGAGGTAGTGACAGATTTTATCTTCCTGGGCTCCAAGATCACCCCAGATGGGGACTGCAGCCAAGAAATTAAAAGACGCTCCTGAGGAAGAAAGCTATGGCAAATCTAGACAGCATATTAAAAAGGAGAGACATCACCCTGCCAACAAAAGTATGTATAGTCCAGGCCATGGTTTTCCCAGTTGCAATGTATGGCTGTGAAAGTTGGACCATGAGAAAGGCTGAGCACCAAAGAATTCAGCCCTTTGAACTGGAGAAGACTCCTGTGAGTCCCCTGGACTGCAAGGCGATCCAACCGATCAGTCCTAGAAGAGATCAACCCCGACTGCTCTTTAGATCCTGAAGTTGAAACTCAAATACTTTGGCCACCTAATGAGAAGGAAGGACTCACTGGAGAAGAGCCTGATGCTGGGAAAGATGGAGGGCAAGAGAAGAAGGGGACGACAGAGAATGTGGTGGCTGGATGGAGTCACTGAAGCAGGAGGCGTGAGCTTAAAGGGACTCCAGAAGATGGTAGAGGACAGGAAGGCCTGGAGGAACGTTGTCCATGGGATCATGATGGGTCGGACATGACTTCACAACTAACAAAAACAGGAAAGCAACAGCTGTTCTGGACAAGCAAGTCAATATCTAAAGAGGAGTATGCAATGCAAACCTTGAGAGGGTTGCATGGCTTAAGACCCTGAACCCCGAGATTCAGATGTATACAACCCATTCTAGAACATATAAACCTCAGCCAGCAGTGCCCTGGAGAATATACAGAGGGCTTAGTCCAGGGGTCTTCAAACTTGGCCCTTTTGTGACTTGTGGACTTCAACTCCCAAAATTCTTCAGCCAGCTTGCCTGGCTAAGGAATTCTGGGAGTCGAAGTCCACAAATCATAAAAGGACCAACTCTGAAGACCCCTGACTTAGTCTCTACTAACCCTAAAATATACAGACCACTTTGTTTTCCCTACCAACCACTCTGAGAGACTAAAGCTTCCAGCACGTCTCTTTCGAGAAATCAAACCTAGAAAGACACATTCTTAGGCCAGAGATGCAACAATCCAACAAGCTCTGGAGAGGTGACAGCTCAGCCTGTTCGATCCTTGCCATGTATGCAACTGTTTGCTGGCCTTAAAGAAGGTGCCAGAGAAAGAAAGTGCCAACTAGAGCCCAGAGACCTTCCAGCATTCATTCTTGGCTCTTCCTTCCAATCCTTCCTTTCCTTCTTTCTTCCTTCTTTCTTCCTTCTTTTCTCCTTTTCTTCCTTTCTTTCCTGTTCTTTTCCTCCCTCCCTCCCTCCAGTTTGGTTTTAAGATCACAGCAACAGGGCAAACAGTTTCAGCTTGCCACCACTTAGCCCTGGCCACATATCCCCAAAGCAACTGCTACAGCCTTATTAAAGCTAATTGGAAGAGAACTTCTGGTGTTTAAAGGTAACGTGTTAACCCTTGGCTGGCCAAGCTTTGGCAAAAGAGTCTCACTGGATCCTGGACAATCCTGGTCTGTTACACCCCTCACCTTCCCTTAGAGACAAAGGCAGCTGCACGTTTCCCAGCAAATACGCTGGTTGCATCCACACACAAAAATGTTTAACCAAGTCAGTTGGAAATCTAGCAGTTGCATTTGTGCAATAGGATAAAAAAAAAAACACCATTTGATTTGATTTGGTTGTGGGGATTGTGTAAACCCACCTCCTGCTTGGTTACACATATTGGGCAAAACCATTAAAAATGGATTAATTCAGGAATCAAATTGAGTAAACATTGCCATGCCTTCATTTGTGATGATTGGTTACTGGTTGCAATTCCAGGGGCTGGTTGTTACTTTTAAAGACCTACATGGCTTATAGCCAAGTGGTTTGAAGGACCCCCTTTCCCCAATTACATCTACCTCGCCCACCAGAGTGGGTAGGCGGGATATCTCCTAATTTGAGAATTTGATCTGAATCTGGACAAGCATTTTGTAATGACAGCAGAATGCTCTATTTCTGACTGTATATTTATTTGGTTTTTCAGACTCAGTTATCCAGAGTCAGACAAATAACAGTTACAAAGCAGTCATACACGTAAAACTAGATTACACTGAACTTACAGAACCTGGGGCATTTTTTTAAAAAAAAGTTTTCAACTACTTTAAGCACAATTAAAGCACTCAACAGTGCTTAACAGTCTTGCTCCCAGCAAAGATAATGAGCAACATAAATATAACTACCGGTATCACAATTCTTATAGTCAAGACAAGAGAATTAAATGGAACGTACTGCTGGAGTTTGTGACCAGAAACAGGTGAAATCCAAGCCTTTATTTAAGACTGATCATTATCAAAAACTTAAAACCCCACTGCTGAGTTCAGGCAGTCATCCTCTCTAACCAAACTCCTGCCTTTTACTCTGAATTTTAAGTTGTTTATTGTTAAAATGGGAAAAAGGCGATTCAATATTTCATGTTGCAAATGCTGCATTAAGTACAACAATTGATCATTCCTACAGTTAGAGAAAGGAAGTGAACCTTGAAAATAAAGAGGATTTAAAGCTCCAGAATATCTAACTAGAACTGAAATATATTTAAGTTGTGCCTGATTCAGTGCCTGCAACAGCCACCCCAGGACCCAAAAATCAAATCCAGGTAAACGTTAACCAAAATTAGCAGGCAAACGCGGTAAAAGGTGTGTTACTAGCTCGGCAAACCTGTCACAAACTGATCAACTTTATTTCTTCTTAGCAAGCTGCAATCAAGGCTAACAGAATAAACTACGGCCCCACTAACTTACGCGTGAGGCTGCAATTTGCCCTCGCTCGCTCGCTTCTCTTACTGCAGCGACAAGTCCTAAAAGCCCAGTCAAGAAAAAAAGACAGAAAGAAAGAGCGAGCGGAGTTCAATTATCCGAGACGCATGCCCCCGTTTTAAGACAGCCAAGAAAGGTTCCTAAATTCTTCCCATTGCCTAGGATTGGCGCGAGGGACAAGGGCCTGAAGCGGACGCAGACGTGCAGCATTCACACGACCCTCGCGCGGCTTCAAATACGACGGGAGGCTTCCGAGCGGCGCCCAGGCAATCCGAGAGATACGGATCGCGCGAGCCAGCGGGGAACGGGAGAACGGGGGATAAACTCCGCCAGCCTTAACCGGCATTAGCCCAGCCACCCCCCCACCCCACCCCACCCCGGGCCAAGTCGTAGCCCATCACACCCCCCAGCTTAGCCTTGGCGCGCTGCGGCTGATGGGCTTGGAAGGTGGGTCCCAAGAAGGGGGATGGGCTTGGAAGGGGGGGTCCCAAGAAGGGGCCCCCAGCTTAGAAGGGGGTCCCAAGAAGGCACCTCCAGCTTAGCCTTGGCGCGCTGCGGATGATGGGCTTGGAAGGGGGGGTCCCAAGAAGGGGGATGGACTTGGAAGGGGGGGTCCCAAGAAGGGGGATGGGCTTGGAAGGGAGGTCCCAAGAAGGGGGTCCCAAGAAGGGCCCCCCAGCTTAGAAGGGGGTCCCAAGAAGGCACCCCCAGCTTTGCCTTGGCGCGCTGCGGATGATGGGCTTGGAAGGGGGGTCCCAAGAAGGCACCCCCAGCTTAGCCTTGGCGCGCTGCGGATGATGGGCTTGGAAGGGGGGAGTCCCAAGAAGGGGGATGGGCTTGGAAGGGGGGGGGGTCCCAAGAAGGCGCCCGGAGAGCTCTAGCTCTTTCAGGGCAAGGCTTCCCAGAGCTGCCGGTCCAAGCTGGTGCCAAGCCCCGAGACGGCCGGGCTGCGGACCCGGGGCGCTGCCTTCCTGGAGGGCGGCCGGAGCCGCTGACTCACCTCCCGCCGCTGGGCTCCTGCCGCCGCCGCCGGCAGCGGCGCCGAGCTGCTCCCCGCGGCCTCCTGCATCCGCCCACCCGGCGCCCTGGCCAGCCGCGGAGAAAGATGCCGCCAGGCGCCCGGCTGGGCCGCTTTAAGCGCGCGGGGTGGGGACCGGCCCTGGCCTCTCCCGCAGCCGGGGCGGCGGCCAGCCAAGCCGGGCTGGAGAAGGGCTGGGCCACGCCGGGAGGGTGGGGGACGCGCGGCGGAGGCGGGCTGCAGCTCCAGCCCCGGGTCCCCACGCGCACCTGGGGCTGCTTTCCCTCGCTGGACGGCTGGACGGAGCCCCGTTGGCGAGACTGACACGCGCCGCGTTCTTCCGCTGCTGTGTGAATGCAGGGCTGAGTCAAGGGGAGCCTGGTTCAGCCTGGCGCTGCCAAAGCAGCGCCCCCTTCCTTTTCTCCCTGGCGCAGGGAAGGTGGATCCGTGCCCGCTTGGGGCAGGTCGCCCCGGGTGAGAAAGATCCTCCTCGGGTTGTCTGAAGGCGGCTTATTAAGTCAGAAAGGTAGCCTCGTTCGTCCCGCTGCCCGTGAGGACATTCTGCTTGGGCTGGGGGCGGTGTGCAAATGCAGCCCCTCTTATTTTGGTGCCTCGGTCAACCGTCCAGGAGCTTCAATGGAGCGGGACTTCGCAGGATTTGGGAATCCAGAGATGTTGATCAGGGCATTGCCCTGCTGATTCATAGTATTTTTCTGGAGGTCCCAGAAGATGCCATCTTCCACTTGAAAGCTTCTGGGCTTCAATTTTTTTCCCTTACCAGAAAAGAATACATCTCAATCCATTTAAAAGAGAAAAAACAAAACAAAACATGGAAAACCTTTGGATTGGAAGTGTCCGGCATCCTGTCTGAAGCATTTTCCCCCTTCTGTTAGAGCAGGGGTTCTCAACCTTGGCAACTTTAAGACTTGTGGACTTCAACGCCCAGAATTCCTCAGCCAGCAAAGCTTAAAGTTGCCAAGGTTGAGAACCCCTGCCCTAGACTTTCTCAACCTTGGCAACCTGAAGATGGATGGACTTCAATTCCCAGAATTATCCTGCCAGCATATGTGGAACCAGAGAATTCTGGGACTTGAAGTCCACCCATCTTCAAGCTGCCAAGACTGAGAAACACTGCCTTAGATTATGCTGTGGATGTTAGCAACTCATGCAGGGACAACTGCTAGCACTGTTAGCAATCTCTTACTGAGAGGCAGCTGGCTGAGGAATTCTGGGCGTTGAAGTCCACAAGTCTTAAAGTTGCCAAGGTTGAGAACCCCTGTAAGGATGTCCATTTTTCAAAGAGGACCTGCAGTTTTCTTGACAAACTTTTTGGAAGCGGTTGGCTATTGTCTCCTTCCTTGGGCTGAAAGCCACCGGCTCAAGGTCACCCAGCTAGCTTGGTGCCCAAGGCAGGACTAGAACTCACAATCTCCCCGTTTCTAACCTGATGCCTTAACCCAGCGTTTCTCAACCTTCGCAACTTGAAGATGGGTGGACTTCAACTCCCAGAATTCCTCAGCTAGGCAGCCATCTTTGAGTTGCCAAGGTTGAGAAACTCTGTCTTAACCACTACAGCAAACTGTCTCTCATCCAAAGCATTTAGGAGGCTCCGAATTGCACAACAGACTTTTTAGGGTTGGCATTTTGTTTAGATACGATATCACAGACACGATGGGCTTTCAAAAAAATGAGCTTTAGAGCGGTTGTCCATTTGGGGTTCCCAGATCTCCTTCTTTGGATGCCATCTCAGAGCTTCCTACAGCGTCCAAAAGGGATGGCATGGCTTCCCGCTTATCTTCCTACAAAGGATTGTGCACACACTGAAAGAAGCTTATTAGCTTTTTTTCGAAACAGGTTTTCAAGTTAGTGATGGCTGTGACTGCAATGCTTTACCACTTTGAGACCCAAGTGTCGTGCAATGGGGTGAGCGCCCGTTTTTGCCTAGCTCCTACCCATCTAGCAGTTGGAAAGTGCAAATTCTTCTTCTTCTTGTGCCCTATCCGTTATCGGATGTTGGCGATCCTGTTTTTATCAGCAGCCGCACGAAAAAGTGCTGCTGAGTTTTGTCCAAACCAATCCCTTAGATTTTGAAGCCACGATGTTCTTCTTCTGCCTGGACCTTGTTTGCCTTCCATCTTTCCCTGGAGGATTAAATGGAGTATGCCGTATCTTTCTGGGTGTCGCATCACGTGTCCGAAATATTCTAATTTTCATTTTTTAATTGTTTTGATGATTTCCCTTGGCTTTCCCAGACGGCTTATCGCCTCCTCATTTCTGATCTCGTCAACCCAGCTTATACATAACAGCTGCCTGTAAATCCACATTTCAAATGCTTCTAGTCTCTTCAGGTGGCCTTCGGTCAGAGACCGACTCTCTACTCCATAGAGCAGGATAGAAAAAAACATAGCATCTGACAAGCCTGATTTTCAGTCTTAGGCTTATGTCGTGCAAATGTGAGTAGATAAATAAGTACCACTTTGGTGGGTAAGAAACAGCGCTCCATGACGTCATGCTGGCTAAGGACCGTAGGAACATCTCTGGACAGTGCTGGCTCAATGGCCTTAAAACGGAGATGAGCCCCACCCTGTATGTAACCGGCAACGACTAGCGGAGTAAAATCCACAGGGACTCCTTTCCTTCCTTCCAAACCAGCCCCCCAAATCTGGAAAATCAAGCCCCATCCACTAAGCAGGTACTGGAGGCTAAAACATACGAAGAATGATTGCAGGAATTGGGTATGTCTAATTTAATTGAAAATAAGGATTAGGGGTGACATGAGAGCAGTGTTCCAGTATTTGTCGGGCTGCCCACAAAGAAGAGGGGGGTCAACCTATTCTCTCAAGCACCTGAAGACAGAACAAGAAACAATGGATGGGAAGTAATCAAGCAGAGAACCAACCTAGAAAGAAGGAGAAAGTGAGATATAGAACAATTAAGCAGTAGAATGGCTTGCCTTCAGAAGTGGTGGGTGCTCCATCACTGGAGGCTTTTAAGAAGTGATTGGACAACCATTTGCCCGAAATGGTATAGGCCAGGGGTAGGCAACCTTGGCTCTTTTATGACTCGTGGACATCAACTCCCAGAATTCCTGAGCCAGCCATGCTGAGGGGAAAGGGAGAGGTTTCCATGCTGAGCCATGCTGGCTCAGGAATTCTGGGAGCTGAAGTCCACGAGTCATAAAAGAGCCGAGGTTGCTTACCCCTGGTATAGGCTCTCTTGCTTGAACAAGGGGTCGGACTACGAAACCTTCAATGTCTCGTCCAATTCTGGGTATTCTGTTACTGCAACCCAGAGGGAGTCTGTAGCCTTCTGCTAGCCAACTTTCCTCCTTGACTACAGAGCAGATGTTCCTCTGTTTAGGCAGCAAAGATTCCTGCTGCTGATCCCTGATGTAGCATTTCACAGCAATTTCTCAGTTTTAAGCATTGCCAACCATCACCAAATGGTTGCTCTCTGCCTCCACCTAGAGGCACAAAGAGAGTTGGCAGACTTTACAATCTGAGAGATCACGAGAGGACGAGTAGTTCTCATTGAGCAACTGCCTGGTTTCGTGACCATTTGCACTTACACTGGTGCCTCGGGACTCATCGTTAATTGGTTCTGGAAGGTACGATGAGTACCAAACAATTCCCGCCCCCCGTAAGGAATAATGTAGTAAGTCACAAGGCAGCCGATGCTGACAAGTTGAGCTTGTGCGTTGAATGCCAAATCAAACGATGAGGACCGGGAGAACATTTTCACGTCCAAATGAGTTGAGTAGCAAGTTCAACAACTTTCATGATGGTGATGAAACAAAGAAACAAAGTACAGAGAAGAGCAACAAAGAGGATTAAGGGACTGGAGGCTAAAACATATAAGGAACGGTTGCTGGAATTGGGTATGTCTAGTTTAACGAAGAGAAGGACGAGGGGGGACATGATAGCAGTCTTCCAGTATCTCAGGGGCTGCCACAAAGAAGAGGGAGTCAAGCTATTCTCCAAAGTGCCTGAAGGCAGGACAAGAAGCAACGGATGGAAACTAATCAAGGAGAGAAGCAACCTAGAACGAAGGAGAAACTTCCTGACAGTGAGAACAATTAACCAGCAACCAGCATCCAGAAGCGGTGAATGCTCCAACACTGGACGTTTTTAAGAAGAGACTGGACAGCCATTTGTCTGAAATGGTATAGGCCAGGGATAGGCAACCTTGGCTCTTTTATGACTCGTGGACTTCAACTTCCAGAATTCCTGAGCCAGCCATACTGAGGGGAAAGGAAGAGGTTTCCAACCTGAGCCAGGCTGGCTCAGGAATTCTGGGAGTTGAAGTCATAAAAGAGCCAAGGTTGCCTACCCCTGGCGTAGGGTTTCCTGCCTGAGCAGAGGGTTGGACTAGATGACCTCCAAGGTCCCTTCCAACTTTATTATTATTAAATGATGAAACATTAGTTCGTTTAATGACTGCAGTGTTCAGTTAACAACTGCTTCAAGAAAGAGCATAAAACAGGCACGTTCATGTGGGTGACCTGTTTTACGACCAATATAACGTATGACTTTCATCAGCAGGCTCCATTATGGTCATAAATTGAGAACTACCTATACTTGTACTGTGCAAAGCATTGCCCAGTAAGCCATTTTTGCATTTCAGTTATATAACCCAGTTATACTTTCTCTCTTTGCTGGTACTGGAAAAAAAAATTGAGATCTCCTTGTTTCAGGCATTCTATTCACCCTGCACCGTAATTATACACTTTAAAGAATTTAGCCACTGGCACCTTGTCTTTTGTAGAGTTCATAATGTATTCCTCTGGTGCGATGCCAATCCAGCAACCAAACTCTGCATTTCAAACGTGACCTATACTTAGATTTCATTGTACAGTTTGCCCCTCATCAGCTCTCGTGTACGGCTCCAGCGTTAGAGAAATACAGCATGAAATGCACACACCTTCCACTCCAGGCACGTGGATAAACACCACCCAGAAGTCCTGATATTTTTCTTGGAAGAATTACATACCAGCAGCTTTTAGTTACAGCCCTAAGGACGAAACATCAACCTTTACGAAAACCTTTACGGTCAACATGGAGAACATTTGCCTTAAAATAGAAGAGGCTAAAGAACATCTCGAACAGAAATCCATTAGCAGTGCAAAAATATTGAACACCGATGCCGTCTTCAGCTGCGGAATCTCTTCAAGGCAGAGAGATGAGCAAAAGCCGACGGAAGCGACGGATCCAGTACAGGCAGCCCTCAACTTACAGTGCTTCATTTAGGGACCGTTTGAAGTTACAAAACGGGACTGAAAAAAGCGACTTACAACCATTTTTTTTACACTTAACGACCGTTGCAGCATCCCCATGGTGATTTATATTCGGACCACCATCAGAATACCAGAAAGGCACGTTCAG